AGGCGTGGCACCTACCCGCCAGCACTGCTGGCCCTCCACAGCCCAGAGCTGCCTGTTGGCTCACCCCGAAGGCCGGGCTGCCCATCACCACCTCGCCTGGCTTTCCTGCCAGCTTTGTAATACAATGAGTTTTCTTTCAAGTACAGTAAGTGCTTCTCCCTGTAGAGCCCTGGGGCTAATGGGAGATGGGAAGTCAGGGTTTTTGTAAATTCTCACAAAGCTTTCCCTTAGGTTTGGATTTAAGCTTGGACCCCATCCACTAGCTCCAAAAATTGGCCATCAGCCAGGAAGAGCTGCACACGAGCTTAGAAACTGAGGTTCCCAGAGCTCAAGCATGAGAAAACCAAGGACCCTGGAGGTAGAAGCACATGACAGAGGGCACACAGATCCAAGACTTCAGCTCGGAGCTCCTAATTTCTATGCATCCCCTTATCTACAAATATTTGAAACCAATGTGAGGAGGATGTATGGAAGAGATAAAGGAGAAGATGAAGCAGCTAATTCTGCTTGGGATTAGCCAGTCTTGATCTTGAAATGCACGTGGGAGGTCATCATCAGGCCAAAGTGAGATGGAGAGAGATTCCGGGGAAAAGGAAAATGTACACACAAAGGGCTTGAGATGTTATAGGACTGGCCTGGGCTGCAGTGGGAGAAGTTCCCTCGGGCCATCTCTCCACTCAGAACAGAGTGCTGGGCCTAACGGACAGAGCCTCTCAGTCTGCAGGTGGTCCAGAGGGGGCTGCTGGTGAGAAGGGAAAGGCACCCCCTTGCCCCATCCCAACTGCCGTCTCGTAATCCTGTATTGTAAATTCTTACAGTATCGTGGCCTACAAACAAGCCTCGTGGTTGCAATACGGAGACATCAGGGAGACGTGAAGGTTCTGGCCTACAGGAGCTGCGAACACCAGCAACGGTGGAGCCCCTTTGAAGGCAAAGGAAGGGACTGGGTGCTGGCGACCGGAGCCACCCACGGCCCCTTGAAGCCCCAGGTTCCAGCCAGAGTTGGCCTCGGAATGACCTGCTCTGGCTCAGGGCTCCCTGGTGGGTGGGGAACAGCACTTTCTTGGTGATAGAAGAATTTTCTCAGCTTTTGGATGTCCCTGCTAGACAGAGGTTGGGTTCTGAGGACAGTAAAGTATGGCCTTTCAGGGGTTATACGCTGGCTGCATGCACAGTCATGCCAGACACACAAAGGGCTTCAGACGGCAGCCCCCTTTCTTGCGGGAGTTGTCCCCAGGGCTCCAAGACACGACTAGTTAGCTGGGTGCTGCGCTGGGAGCCCCACAATGAAAACTCAAACCAAAGCACACATTTTCAACAGCCTAAGGGGAACCCAGCGGGGGTGTTTTATAAGAACTCCCAAGGTTTTAGAAGATTTTGGGGCTCGGGCTCTTGGATTCAGGGTACTTTTATTGCTCTTGTTACTGTTGCTTATAAGAAGCAAATATCAAAAGACTTTCTTCAGTGGAATAGAATATTGAGTATTTTCAGCCAATGATGCTTTCAAAGTGGGTGGTGTGAAAGGAGAGAGGAGATATGCCAAGAGCCATTTTATTTGGAGGTCCCTATTATAGCCTATTTTACTTACATCTAGAAAGCAGACTCACTTCCGAATAAAATGGACATTTATTGTATGTGTGTGAATCATTCTTCACCTGTCAGACTCCCTCTGTCACTACGGGCAGGGCATGGCGTTCTTATGTTGGGGTAAAACTTAAAGCTACACATTTTTTTAAAAAGATTTTATTCATTCATTCATGAGAGACACACACAGAGAGAGAGGGAGAGGCAGAGACACAGGCAGAGGGAGAAGCAGGCTCCATGCAGGGAGCCCGATGTGGGACTCGATCCCAGGTCTCCAGGATCAGGCCCTGGGCTGAAGACGGTGCTAAACCACTGAGCCACCAGGCTGCCCTACAGAATGCATTTAGAGCTCCAAGGATTCGGGCTCAGAGAGTCTGCATCTCCCATCCCTTGATGAACAAAACTTCCTGGCAGGTCTCCAAAGGTCCCAGGTGCTGAGATACGGCAAGAATGTGACTGCTCCTGCCCTGACAGGGTGCACTGTGTAGCAGGTGGAGCCGGCAACCATGTATCCTCTGATAAGGGACCATGCCATCCAGGCTTAGGGGAGAGGGAAGGCTTCTCAGGAGTGGCACAGGGTAAGACTGGAAGGAGCGACGAAGGCCAGAAGTTAAGGGACAGTCCAGGCAGAAGGAATAACAAGCTGGAAGGCCCAAAAGTGAAAATATCTCAAGATAGAGGAATTTAACATAAGGGGAGGGCAGGGGAGGGACAGGTATAAAAGGGACAGGATCAAGATACGAGACCGGAAAGGAGGAACAACATACAAATAGAGCCTTAAGAAAAGTTTCTCTTTAAAGTAATGGGGATAGCTGGTGGAAGATTTGGGGCAGGAGCACGGAATGCACTCGCATCCCTGAGAACCGACGGGGGGGGGGGGGGGGGGAGGAAGGCGCAGAGGGAGCAAGCGACACTTGCAGAAAGGAGACAAGAGGGATCCCTGGGTGGCGCAGCGGTTTGGCGCCTGCCTTTGGCCCAGGGCGCAATCCTGGAGACCCGGAATCGAGTCCCGCGTCGGGCTCCCGGTGCATGGAGCCTGCTTCTCCATCTGCCTGTGTCTCTGCCTCTCTCTCCTTCTCTCTCTGTGACTGTCATAAATAAAAAAAAAAAAAAAAAAAAGAAAGGAGACAAGAGCAGAGGCTCTTGCAGCAATCCAGATGACAGATGACAGAGGACTGACAGAGAAGGCCAGAGAAAAGCAGAGGGACCGACCTAGAGAAATCCCTGGCAGTTGGCGGTCAGTGAGAGTCGGGGACAAGTGAACGGCAGAGGGTGAGGCAGAGAGGGGCAAGAATGCTCAGATTTGGGGTGCAGGCAACTCGGAAGAAGGCACAGCCCCTCACAGAGACAGGCCACTTGGACGGAGGAGCGGGGATGGGAAGAAGAGTTCAAGGCCACGCTCACCGCCCTAGACTCCTTCCTCCTGACTCCTTGCCTGCTGCCCCCGCCCCCGATGGGCTCCCCAACCTGCAGGAATCTTCTCCTTGGCTGCTCCATTCCTGCTCCTTGCAACGTCCAGGAACATTCCCTTCTTGCCCACGCTCACCCTGTCATGAGCTCATAGGTTTTAACCTGAGCTGGGCTCTCATAGGCCCAGCACTGGCTCCTTTCCGACCCCATGCCTTCGGACCAGGGCAGCAGTCGTGACACTGGCCTCAGCTCCCCAATGCTTCTAACCATGTTCTAACCCCTTTGATGCTCTCAAAGTGTGGTTTCTGGACCGGCAGCAACAGCATCCCCAAGGAACCTGTTTGAGATGCAAAAATCTTCGGCTCTACCCAAGTCAAACTCTAGAGGTGGGGCCGAACAACTGGTGTTTTCACAAGCCCTCAAGCTTAGGAACCCATGTTATCTCTGGGCCTTTTCCTCCTTAAGAGCGATCTCCCCCACCCCCCTCCTCCTCTCCCCTCTCCTCTCCCTAATTCCTGAGGCCCAGACAGCCCTGTCCTTGGTACTCTCCCCAAGTAAGTTAGTTTACCCCCAGGGATCCCAGAACGCTCTTGCCAACAATCTGACCGACACCTCCACCAATTGGATTTTCTCAAACAAAACTCCAAACCAAATTCTTCTCCTACTCCACCACCTAAGCCTACTCCAACCTTTATATTTTTCTCCTGATTGTTTTCACACGTCAGTGAATGGCGTCACCTCCTAGCTCCCGGGCTGGAAGCTTCCATGTCATCTCTGACCCCCTTCCTCTCACCACAGAAATCCATTAAATCCACCTCCACTCCTATCACCTCTTGCCATGACTTTTATGACCTATCCCCATCTGTTCCTCAGGGCTTCAGTCTGACCACAGTCCTCCAGCATGCTATCTCTGTCACCTTCTTAAAGCAATTACGAGAAACATATCCCCCCTTCTAATCTGCGATTGACAAAGCGAATGGGAAGGATTGTTATGGGAGGACTTGATATTTCAGTTGGCTGTATTTACACAAGTAACAGAAGGGTCTTCGTGTAAGAGCTATCACATAGTAAGTGCCGGCAGACACTTCAGTGCCTTGTAGACTTTATTGCTAGTCCTCTCGGCAACCCTTCTGGGAAAGCATGCCTTCATTTCAAAGATCAAAATACTGAAGTTCAGAGAGATGGGACTTGCCTAAAGCCACAGAGCCAGCAAGTGGGAAAGCTGAGAGATCTGACCCAAATCTCTCTTTATCCCACCTTGCTGCCTCATCTTGTATAACTGTAGGCTTGTATTAGCGATGTCTACTGTCAGTAAGTTCAAGTCCATCTCTGGTGCACTGTGGTCATTAAATACAAGCTTAACTGGGCATCCTGGTCTCTATTCAAAACACACTCTAACATTAATAAGCCAGGACATTTCTTCTTGCCCTGCAGATTTTTAAAAAACATCATGGCAGGGGACCTGGGTCACTCAGTAGATTAAACGTGTGACTTTTAAAAAAAAATTTATTTATTTGTGAGAGAGACAGAGAGAGAGGCAGAGACATAGGACATAGCAGAGGGAGAAGCAGGCTCGCTGTGGGGAGCCCCAGGCAGGACTCAATCCCAGGACCTGGCATCATGACCTGAGCTGAATGCAGATGCTCAACCACTGAGCCACCCAGGTGCCCCTAAACATGTGACTCTTGATTTCGGCTCAGGTCACGGGATGGAGCCAGCCCTGCGGGCCTGCCCGCCAATCACGATGGTTACATACAGACACTAGGTGGTTTCTTCATCTTCCCAAATTGGTGCCAGCCAGTAAGATGCAGGAGAAAGTAAACTGAGGATAAATCTACAGAGAAGTGAAGAAGAATAAAAATAGTTCAATGATATTTTTTTCCTAGTGTACCCTGATTCCTGCAGGCACACTCATACCTCCTCCTAGAAAACACGAAAACACAGTACAAGGCACACACGTTTTCCTGTCATATAAAGTGGTACAAATGACAACAGGACTCGAGAGGTAAAGAAAGCATCTTTCATAGGTTTATTGGTCCATTACTTTAAGTTAATTGAGGAAAAGAAACCTTTTAAATTTACAAGCTAACAGTTTGTCAAGCAATACAAATTCTTTTGTTTACCTCAAAATGTAATACTAATTTCATAGTAAACAATGGACAGAATTCTTTAATACACAGATATACGAAAAAAAGTGGACAAAACCTCGTGCCAGCATCAAAAATGCAACAAAAACTTTTTTTTTTCTTTTTACAATCTCTGGGTTCTGTAACAAAAAGAAAAAGTGACATTCTTTTTTTTTAAAGTTTGGTAGCTTCATGAAACAGAGACTTTGACCTGGAAATAAATCCCTTTTTTTGTCTACACACATTCTTGAGCACATTTTAATTTTTTTTCACAGCTTTTAATTTGGCTTGTTGGCAGCATGGAGAGAAGAGAACACATCTACACGGAGGACTTTATCAATACCTCAGAGTTGAGGGGTGGGGGAAGATTCTTCTGTTAAAATTTTAGATGTAAAGAATGGTTCCTAAAAATAAGAAGTACAGTCCATGCTTTGGACATAACCTAAGCAAAAGTTCTGAATCTCTTTTTCAACAGTTAAAATACAAGTTAGAAAGTTTGCTGGCAGTTTATTTGATAGGAAGAAATCAGAGGTACATCATCTCTCAGTGCATTCCCAACGCACAGACACCAAGGCGTCAGGCACATGGATGTACAACGGACAGGGCGGCTACGGGACCGGACCACAATCTCAGGAGTGTCCAGGTGAATGGTGCTGGCTGTTAGGAGCTGCTGGTTTGTGGTTCCACGAAGGCCCAGCTGACACAGCTGTCATTTAATCACACCGATTCACGTTTTGTTTGCAACCTACTTGCCCCTCCCTGTTTCCACGCTGGGGAAAAAGCCATCTTCCCTTTTCTCCTTCCAGTACCGTTGGGACTGCAGGGCTGGTCTGAGACTATGAACAACCTGTCAAGCAGGCTCACTGGCTTTGATAGGAAAAGCCTGTCAGAACGGACTGATGGATGTGAGTCAACACAACAGGTTTCAGGTTTTGGCATTTCGACCTATGGAGAATTTCTATCTGAAACATGCTGCTCTGACGGCCTCCCCCCACCCGCCTGCGCGCCGGTGACCTTTTAAAAAGCTATTCTGCAGAATCAGGGTAAACCATGAATATTGTCATAACCTGGAGTTCTTTGTATCTCTATGATTTGTCGATGCTGATAACCACATATCCTCTACAATCAAGAGTGTGCCGAAAGGCACTAAAGTTAATCTTTTACACTTTAAAACAAACAAACAAATAAATGAACAAAAACGGCTTAGTGGTCCCTGTGTTTCCTTACGTTATCAAAAATATCATTTGGCAATAGCAACACTTAGCTTTCTCCTCCCAAAAGGCAGCCCTAGTTATGAACCTCACTTTCCTGTTTCCTTAAGAGGGCCGACGATGTTAGACCTCTAGTATTATTAGGCTGAACAACCAATTACATTTCTAAAAACTCTTTCTATCCAGAATCTAAAACACACTAGTTGAAGAATAAGGCATATGAATAGGTGTTGACAATGCTCAAAAAGCAGAGTTAGGCTTTCAATAGTCTTGTGGCATTTTTAAAAGTCTGGGTTTGTGGATCTTCAAGTGCTAAATACGCACGCAGAGTGTTTCTACATGACACGGATACCTTATTGGTTTTGTTAAAGTTCTTTTTTTTTCCAAAGCACTTATTTACAGGATACCTAGAGTAGTAAAAACTACCTGGAAAACGTATTTCTGCTGTCGCACAGGAAGGGCTAGACAGCCATGCCCGGAATGCATTTCAAACACGTGTGATTGAGGAACAGTCGAGCTCCCTGTGACAAAGGCCCCCTCCTCCGCCTTCTCTAATGCAGACAGCCCTGCGCATGCTCTCGTCTGGGCCACTGTGGGGGAGGCCAGCCATCCGCACCAAGAGAAAGCTAACCCCCACTTGGATGGACTCCTGAGAAAAATCAGGCTTCTGGTTTATTCGCTAAATCACAAAACCACGAGGAAGCAGAGAACAAGTCCGACACGCCCGGCTCGGCGTGCCAGTTGGGCCCAGGAGATGACAGCTTCCTGAAATTTACTGGTAAATGCCACCTGCCATCTGAACGGAGAAAACCTAAGGGGGCACTTCCAATCTGCCACATCTTGAGGGCTCCAGAGAGCGAGAAGACAAACCCAAATTCCCAAAAATGTCTCGTGAACGGGCATCGCCAAAGCAAGCGCTCCTGCAGCCCAACAGTTCGATGGCTCAGTTTCCACCATGGGCGTCCGGGCGGCGGGGTGCAGGCCTGCTGTGCCCTGCCCGACCCCGGCCGGCGCCTTCCACGCCGAAGCCTTCTAACGGGGGCAGCCAGAGGGGAAAGGGCTTCGGACCCTCCCCGAGACCCAAACACACCTGGGGCTGGTGGCGGATCGCACTCCTGCGCTCTCGGGACGGAGCAGAAAGAACAACTACTCTCGGTCCAACGGATGGCGTCAAACCAAAGCCCAGGATCTTGGGGCCACGGCTGGCAGGCCAAGGCGTGGGGACCCCGGGTGTGTCCCCGGCTCCCACCCCATCCCGGGAGAGGACAGAGCCCCTCGGAAGTGGGCCTCCCTGTTGGTTCAAAACGAAGGTGGCCCCACAAGGGCATTTAAACCCCCCGTGCGGATGGGGACCCACAGAACACGGAGTTCAGCGACACGCAGGACACGCTCCAGCTGTGGCTGAAATGCGGCCTGAAGACAAACTTACATTCACCACGGTCCCCGGAGTCGTGTTCATTATTGTTATTTCACCTAAAGGCAGGAGTCTGGGGAGTTCAGCAAGCAGCACAGTGAAACACGAGCCCATCACCTCCATAATTGCACTTATCTGAGGTCACCAGGAGACAGTATTAAGTCTTATTAAAGGACAAAGGCCAACCCCAAACCTGGCTGCATAACGTGTTCCCTCCTTGTTCAGGAAGGACAGTGGTCCTTCGCTTTGGGCAGAGTAGCCTAGAATCTTCTGGCGGTTCCAGTACATGAGAAGAAGAGCAGTGTCCCTATCGACTGCTCTCTTTAGCATCGGCATCTCTAAAGCTGGCTGGGTTTCTAAGGAATTCTTTCTTCTGCCTCCGCCTGGGTTTTTAACCTGGGGGAATGAAACTTTCACCCCCACCCCTACCCGAGGGACAGTTGACAGGAGATCACTTTCCGTTCCATGGCCATGAGCCCAGGACTCAAAACCCGTCGGTGTGCCTCAGGTCAAGCATGTCCTCAAGCCAACGCCCCCGGGCTATAAATCCCAGAGAGGAGGCAGCGATCCTGACTTTGTGGGGCCAAGGAGGGTGGGGCGAGGAAGCCCCTACGAGGCCGTCTTTGGCACAGAAGTCTCTTGAGTCACTTCTCACAGGGCGATCACCTCTGTGCCCACCAAGGTGAAGGGGCAAATGCCCAGGACTGGCGGCCCTCGGGGCTGAGGGAGCCGGCCTCACTGTCCGCCTGCCATCCCTTCTTTCTGAGCCGCCAGCCTGAAGAGTTAAAGGGGCAAGGGTCCCTTCTTGGGATACACCATCACTGGCTCTCCCAGCTCCGCTCTCCGTGCTCCAGAAACATCCCAAAATAGGCAAAGACAAACCCCAAGATGCCTGAACCCCCTCTGAGCTTGTCTTCTGCCTCCAATAACATAAAGAATGCCTGCACCCTCCCCCAACACACTCCCTTTCTGACCATTCCAAAGAGGAACCCCATGGCTTTTTGGAAGGGTTGCCTCTTTCCCAACTAACCTCTACACAGGAACACTCTTGGGCTTTGGCAACTAGTAGCGGATGAGGTTCTGGTCTTCCCATAACTCTCTCCATGGTTCTTTCCAAGCACTCATTACACTGGACAACATTTTTAAAGCACACATTCCACAAGGCAAGGCTTCGCACGTTCCTGCAGATGGGCACTTGCTGCGAGGCCAGTCTAGTGCCTTCCACGAAATATCAATAGAGGGCCATCGACCCATTACTAGATACACAACCCTGTTCTACCAGCAAATTGTCAGGCCGGACCCAGACATCCAGACCCGCACCAACGTGATGGTTTAGAGGTAGCATGAAACACTGACTCACCACTCAGGGTAGATGGGCCGTCCTTACCCTTCTGCTTCAGTGGATCATTTCTAAGTGTACCAAACTGAAAAATAGCATGGCAGGAATTTAGAATGGCATGAGTGGGTCTGACGGCATGGGCCAAGTACCAAATTATACAAAAAAAAAAAAATTCAAATTTCAATTGTGACTCATTCAAGCAAGATGAAACAGAACCCAGTGGCTCTGGGCTGTCCTCCTGTCGTGCCACTGACATCACAGCAGTGGCTGCCCAAGGTCAACTCTGCAGGTGGAAGTGGGATGGAGCGATTTCGACACGCTGCATGTTGCCCGGTATCTGCCGGTTGACGTGTGTATGCAGCAGCGTTTTGGCACAGCTGCTTTGCTACAAAAATATTCCCGCCTCTTTGAGGCTCAGATTTATAATTTTAGAGGGATGAGCCATAGATGAAAGCACACATTGTGACATAGGTAGCTTCATTTCAGGAGGAAACAAAACGAGTTGCAAGATAGATCCTCTTTGTCTGTTTCGTGTTGATTTGAAGAGCAAGCTTGGTCAGAGTTTGAAGACTTGGGATGCAGCCAGCAGTCCCCAGGAATCTGGCTGCAGACTGAGGAGATTTTAGCTTATCTAGAAGCAAAGAAGTTCTCTGTTACACCTGTCATCTTCGAGGCCCAGCCAGTTACTGACTTTTCTTTCTGACCGGGGAATACCGAGGGTTAAAGCACTTCATATAGAACATTCGCGTTGAGTTTACAAAATCTCGACTGTGTCACAACAGCATACCAGCCTCTCACCGAAAGTTTTGCCCAAACATTCGGTGGACATGGTAAGAGACATTAAATTAGGAGTTTGGGGTGAGGTAAAGGCAAGCTGCACAGAGCAAATGTGGAGATGGGGCTTGGTGCATGATGCCCACCGAACCCAGCCACTGGAGAGCTACTCTGACTCCGAGACAACACAGATTCTCCACGCCAGGCCTAATCTCTACTCTGACGGCATTTAACTAGCAAAAGACAAAACACTGAAGAACTTCACAGAGAAAAAAATGCACCTTTTTTTTTTTCCATTTTACGCAAAAACAGTTTCCAATCTACTGCATTCTAGTGTCAGAAACGAGTCTGAGGAGCGCTGCCCCCCTCGGCTTCCCGAGGTATCGCGTGAGGACAAGGACGCTGGTGCTCTCCTTCTAGCACAGATGCCTACAGATGCAGACAGTAATGGTCCTGAACGAACCAGAAGCCACAAAACAGGTGCCACTCATCACAAGCAGGCAGCAGGCCACACTCACGGCTATAGGCCACTGTACATTAAGGACTTTTCACGGAGGTGCTGACGCCTCCTCCTAGGCTGAGATGAGTCAATGCCCACAGAGGTCAATTCCAGAGTCACCATGTGTCCATGGAAAATAAGAGCTGCCTTCGATTCACGCCTTCCTCAAGCCCTTGAAAGGCAAGATCCGGGCTCTCTTCCGCCACAGGCAACTCTGCTGTCCCCCAAACAGGAAACTGTAATGAGATGTCAGAATGTCAGCTGAGTTGTCTCGTTCCTCAGCTGCAAATCTCTTTAGTGTTCCATTGAAGAGGTTCCTTCACACCACGGAGGTATGCTTCTTTCGCTGAGAGATGATTATAGCCATATAGACTCCACCAAGGAATAAATACTCATGGAAAACCACTGTTGGACACGGGGTGGGGGTGGAGGGGTGGGAGGGGAAAGAAATACACCAAGGAGAGATGCTTCTGCGGCTGTTTTCTTGGTGCCACCTCTCTGGCACTACAGGGAACATTCTGGTATGGGGTGCCATGCCCTGTGTCGGTAGAAGAGTCTCTGTCCCAAGAAGGAACTTACTTGGCCTCTTGTTTCTCTTGCAGTAGTGGAATAATCGACTCCCATGCCATGAGGCACTGAAATGACAACACACACACATACACACACACACACACAGGATCAACATCAGGTTTCAGGAGCAGGCTCTTAATTCTTCTCTGATCTACCCTCTCATTGTTAATCCCCGGGTTACTCTGTCTTATTTGCCATCTATGTAATGCACGTATGTCATGTCCAACGTCTACCCGTATTATCTGTTGCTCTTAGACATGGGGGAGGTAACAGGTGTTCTGCTTTGAATACATCATCCCCGTCTCCACGAGAAAGACAGCAGGGTCTCTAAATGCACTGTCCCTAGAGCTCATAGCTGGTGAGTGGAAATGTATTCACTGAAAGAAATTCTTTCCCATCAAAAAGCTGAAAAGATAGTAGGCCACGAGCCCTCAACGGCCCCACCTCCTCAGGCAGGCTGAAGACACTGTTCTCGGTGTGGGTATGATGTGCTAAGGATGCAAATCATATTGGCCAGCCACCTGACTCAGAGGGGATGGAAACCCCGTGGACCCCAGATTTGCTTGGATGGGCCACTCTTGGCCCTCCCTAAAGGGTGGGGAGGGAGGGAACTCTATTTATTGAGTGTCATTGGGCCAACTACCATCATGTATTTTACATTCACTATTGCTCATCCCTTATAATTCTATGAAGTAGAATTATTACACACACACACACACACACACACACACACACTTCCTAGATGGAGAAAAATGAGCCCCAGAGAGGTTAACTTGCCCAAGACACGCAGCTAGTAAGCAGCAGAGCTAGTAAACGGCCCAAACAGATATTCTTTATACAACGCTAATCCCCTTTCATTCTAGATCCTTTCAAAGGGCCAAGGACTTAGAGGGACACTCTCCTGTAGGAGCACCCGACTTGGTGAAATGATCTTCCCTTTGAGCATCTCCTGCAGAGAGGCCAGAAGAACCACACAAGGCCTTCCTTAGGAGCAGCTCGGGGTGAAGGGGGACTTTGTGCTGAATCATCTGGGAAGGAGTTCCAAGCAGGCAGGAGGCCTGCTGTTTCATTTAGCAACAACATATCCCCAGTCCCTGGCGCATGGCAAGGACATGGCAGGCATCTGTTAAATGTACGTGGCAGCAGAGGGATGGTGAGGGAATGAGGGAAGGCGGTACCACTTACTGGTATGTTCTAGGCACTGAGGTATGCATTATTTCACCGTGCCTTCACAATTGTCCCATTTTACAGGTGAGGAGACAGGCACAGAGTGGCACCCCGCCTAAGGCACAGCCAGCAGAGGAATGAAACCCTGACTTGACATGGATCCTTCTAGGCTGGGGTGAGGACATGTTTCCAGAATTGTGCTGGGAATGACCGAGTTAATGCTTGTCCCACCTGATTTCAGGGTTACAGGTGCTTGTGGAATTGTGATTGGGCCATTCTTCCTTGCTGATTCTAAGCTTTCAAGGAACATTAGTATTTCTTAGCAAAAATGATCTGGGTTTAGACATGCCTGGAGCAAACTTTGAGGAGACTTTGCTGTAGCTTGATGAGAGCCCTGCGTGTGTGTGTGTCTGTGTGTGTGTATGTATGAGAGTGAGAGTGTGAGAGAGAGAGAGAGAGAGAGAGAGAGAGAGAGAAGGGTGCAGAGTCCACATCAAGGGGATTCGTGAAAAAGACCATTCTTAATAGTTTTCCTTTGTAATCCTTTTTTGGAGGATTATTTACAAACAGTATCTTGATAAGGATTCAGGACACAGCTAAAGGGGTCTATGGCACCGTGAAAGTGAAGAACCCCTGCGTGCAGAACCACAAAGCAGCTCAGACTACCCCCAAAGCCTCCGCTCCCTGGACCAGGCCCGCACTCCAGGCCTTCTGACGCGGGAGCACGGCCTGTGGGTACCTGGATGGGCCCTGCTCCCCATCCCAGCGCCTCATCCCACGCGGGGCCACCAAGACCAGACACAGAGGAAGGGGGGAGGCGGGGCTGCCAGGGTCTCAGCTCCTGGGTGACTGGCTGGGCCTCCCAAAAGGCTCTGGCTGTTCCAAGTGCTCCCCTAACGAGAGGGCTGGGGTCTCGCCGGTGCACCCGTTACCTTCTCGTAATATTGGATGTTCTTGTCAGCCATTCCCATGAGCAGCTGCCGGAAGTCCTGCCTCTTATTGCTCTGCCACCTTTCCATGTCAGCTTTCAGATCCGCGTTGAAACACTCCATTCGATCCTGACATTTCTCAACGTCTGCGGGCACCTGGAGGGGGACGTATACATTGGTACTCTGCACGCGCAACTGGGGACTCCGTGCCCTGGGCTCCCCACCATGAACGCACCCCCTCCTTGGGGGGGCATGTATTTGACGGCAGAGCCTTGGGTTTTCAGGTCTAAGAAGGAATTCTGAAAAGCCCACTCCTGACCCCAATCTTCAAACCCAGCCAAGCACCACAGGGACTCTTGGGGGAAATACCCACTCTTTACAAACAGGAAGAAGAAACACTGCAATTCGGAGTCCTAGATCTTTGGCTGTTGCTTTTTTTTTTTTTTTTTAACATCTTAACGTAAAACTGTGTGCAGGTTTCACAAATATCCAGCAGCATTTGGCGCTGCCCCGCTACTCTCCGCAGTCCTATAAGTGAAACAGGGAGAGGCTTCCCCATAACCACAGGAACTATTCCATTACCTGTGACGTCTGACAACGCCTACCCTCATTCACCACACAATTAACTGCAATTACAAGACTATCGGCCCACTTCTTCCTCCAAGCCCCAAGAAAACTAAAGGCCTGTCTATGCTTCCCCTCGTCCCACCCCCAAAATAGCAGATAATCAAAAATGATGAGTTTCGGTTAGGGAATTCTGAGGAAATGGGAGGAAAATCATTTATGTGTGTCAAAAGAATCTGAAACATGAAGAAGAAATGTAGAGCAGGCTGGTTCAAGTTTTTCTCAAAGAAGTCTAGAAGGCCTTCTCGAAATGGAACAGTTGGAGAGCCTCGTGGCTACCCAGGTCCCCAGAGCACAAAGCTGGCTCCCCTCCTCACGCAAGAGCTCCACGGGGCCCTGCGGTGGCCCAGGCGGCCCACCTGCCAGATGCTCTGCGACGGCAAATGAGGTCCTGTGCGTTGAGTGTCGGGGCCTGTGATCCCCAAAACTCTCCGAGCCACGGTGGCCATCAGGGGTCAATCTCTACCCCGCAGGGCAGTTTTCTACCCAGGCCCGATGGGCAAGGAGAAGACCCAGAAAAACCAATAAAGGGAGGGTCGAGGCCGAGGGAGCCGGCCACATTCGGGGCAGGGCTTCCAGAAGTGCCGAGGGCCGCCCGGAGCCGGGGCGGCCGGGTTCACACAGGCCAGGCCTGGGAGCCGACGCGGGGCACGGGGGGCGGGAGGAGTCGGACAGAAGGCAGCGGGAGGCCTCCTGGGCAATTTAAAAGGAAGGAGCTTTTCTTCAAAGCGGGAGGGAAGCCTTTACAAAGTGCGAAGCCCCTAGAAGAAAGACAAAGGACTCGACTTTTTCTTCTGACGCCATGAGCGAAGTCACTTTTGTCTTTCTCCGCGGCCTCGCCCATCACGGTTGCCCAGCTCGGGGAAACTGAGGAACGGGCGCGCCGCCGCCCCTGCCGTCCCTCTGGAGCCTCCTCCACAACCGTGTGGGCCTCCCCCGCCGCCAGGCCCGGGCCCGCCCTTCCTCCTGCCCGGCCGCTCCCCTCCGCCCGGCCCGAGAAAGTTCCAGTAGCCGCGGCCGGTGGGGAAAGCGAAGCTGTGGGAAGAGAGGGAGACCGGGGCCTGCCCCAGAGGAGCTGCCCCAGGGCGGTTCCCGGCCGTCCTGAAGCCGCCAGCTCTGGGCCTGGTGGTGACCTGGGCCTCGTTCGGGAAGCACCTGGCGGCGTAGGCAGGTCTTGTCCAGACTGCCCCAGGCCGGCGGGGAAGGGAAGGAGCGTGCCCGGGCACTAGGGGAGGGCACCGCAGCCGGCACTTCCCTCTGAGCCGCGGAGGAGGTCAGGCCTCCTCGAAGAAGGACCGCTGAGGCCGGGGCGCCTGGGTGGCTCGGCGGGTTGGGCATCTGGCTCCAATTCAGCTCAGGTCGTGACCTCAGGATCAGGAGATGGGGCCTGGCTTCGGGCTCCACGCTCAGCGCAGAGTCTGCTTGAATTTCTCTCTCCCCTCTCCCTCTGCCCCTCCCCACGCCAGTGTGCGCACTCTGTCTCTCAAATAAATAAATAAATAAATAAATAAATAAATAAATAAATAAATAAATAAATAAATATTTTTTATTATTTATTTGAGAGAGAGAGCGAGCATGAGTAAGAGAGAGCACAACCCAGGGCAGAGGCAGAGGGAGAGGGAGAAGCAGACTCCCCGTGGAGCAGGGAGCCTGGTGTAGGGCTCCATCCCAGGATGCTGGGATCGTGACCTGAGCTGAAGGCAGACTGAGCCACCCAAGCAGCCTGATAAATAAATCTTCGAGAAGAAAAGAGAAAAATGACTGAGGCAACAGTAGGAAGAAGGTAGTGACAGGAAATGCGAGTGAGTGGGTAGACTGTATCTGGACCCGCCTCAGGAATCGCTCACAGGCCACGGCACCCACAAATGGCACAGAGAGAGAACTCCAGCTGGCAAGACGGTGGAGGGCAGTAAGGAGATGAGAAGCCTGGGTTCCCGAGTCCAGGTTTTCTCAGTTTCACTTCACATGTGCCCCCTTTTTAGAAAACAGCAAAGCCTGTGCTTCCTCTAACTATGCAGAAAGTTCTAGAACCAGACTTCCGGAGTTGGAATAGCATGTCTACCACTTCCTACATGGGTGACGTGGGGCCTCTCCAGACCTCAGCTTCTGTTTCTAGATAATACCAAACCACCCTGTAAGGTTCCTAGGAGGTTAAACAAGATAATGTGCATAAAATACTTGGTGCCTGGCATAGATTAAATGCTCCACCAACACTTTGTAGCTCTGATTGGTGTCCGTGTTGTAAAATTGTTCATAGGAAGATAATTGCCCTGTGCATAGCCCCCCCCCCGACCGAGAATGGATGTCATATGAAAAGGTTTTTCTGTTTTCCAAAAATAAATATTATTAAATACGTTCTTTCAAACCCTACACCACCCTTCACCTGTACCACCTCACCTCGAGGTTTTGCCAGAGATCAGGGATGAGTCAACACCAAAATACGTTGGCGTGAGATCATCCTGGGTGCCCTGGAACCAGGGTGGTGGCTCTACCATCACAAGGGAGAGGACAAATGAGGCCAACCTGGCAGAGACAGAACGACACGTGTGGCAACCAACTGCACGTGAGAAATAAGATACCGGAAGTCAGGAGGGAGCGAGTAGCTCGTAGCCTGGGTGACAAGGATGGCAGCAGAGCAGATAGGGCTTGGGGTAAAGGGCAGGTACACGGACCACGGAGAGGAGGCAGTGTACCTCCTCCACAGGAGGGGCTGAGACAACTCAACAACAGCAACAACAACAACCTGATTTTAATATGAGCTAAGGACTTAAATAGACATTTATGCAAAGAAGATCTACCAGTGACCAACGGGCATAGGAAAGGGTGCTCCACGGCCCCAGTCAGTAGGGAAATGCAAACTAAAACCTCAGTGAGGACCATCTCACATCCATTAAGATGGCTACTAACAACAACGACAAAATAACAATTGTTGGCCAGGATGGAGAAAACTGGAACCCCTGCACATGTGTAAAACAGTATGGCGCTACCTCAAGAAATAAAGAAAGAAAAGGAAAAAAAAAAAAAAGAATTGCCCTACAACCCAGCAACTCCATTCTGGGGGTATGCCCACAGGACTGGAAGCGGAGTCTCACAGAGGTATCTGTGCACTCACACTCACCGCAGCATTATTCCCAACAGACAAAGGTAGAGACACCGAGTGCCCGTCCACAGATGGATAAACAAAAAGGGGTACGTGTGCATGGAGTGGAGCGCTAGTCAGCCTTAAAGAGAAAGGAAATTCTGATGCTTGCTAAAACATGGATGAACCCTGAGGACATCATGCTAAGTGGAATAAGTCAGTTACCAAAAAACAAAGAGTATACGATTCTACTTACAAGAGGTGCTGAGCAGTCAATGTCACAGAGACAGAGACAACAGTGGTGGCCAGGGGAAGGGGAAACGGATGATTTAATGGGGAGAGTTCCAGTTCCCCCAAAATGACAAGAGTTTTGGAGATCCATTACACAACACTGGATTTACTTAACACTGCTGAATTGTACACTTAAAAATGGTTCAGACGGTATTTTTGGTGGTGTGTGTTTTGCCAGGATTCAAAAGTTTTTAATATATGCGGAAATCAAAGAGGAGGTTGGGGGCAGTGGTTGAAGGATAGAATTCATGGGGAAGCCTAAGAACGTGCAGGGTTAGTACAGGGGATCAGCCAGGATTACTAACAAAGATGAGCAGAGAAGCAGAAAGTGAGTCACGGTGGGCAGAGCCATAGAGGCACGAGGATGGAGGGGTGAGGAGGAGGAGGAGAGGGAGGAAGGGCTGAAGAGAAGAGACTATGAGGAAGTGGGAATTGGGATGAACTGTCCAGGAGACCAGCTGAAGGTGCCCAACTTGACGGAGACGAAGGCAGCTGGCGTTCTCCTCACTTTGTCTCTCTCTAGCTGGTGTTTTCGTGACAATCGGTTCACAGACCAGGAACATCTCGCATCGCTTATCTCCATGTTTTCATTTTTTGACTGAGGTGCCGTTAGAGTTGTGCTATCCTGTGTCTGAAGGATGTTGAGACAGAACTATTCAATGCTACTGGTTGGCTCTCGCTTATCACAAGACACCAACAAGAAGAGAAATTACCAGGTAAGACCTCAAAAGACAACGCTTCTAAATAGAGACAAGGCTCCATTTTTCACAATGGTTCCCTGCTCTCGCAGGAGAATTTCCAGTACAGAATAAGTGTAGGTGGAGCAATGGGAGAAGGGAAATGTGGGATGAGCTTAAGCATTTTTTGTGTGTTGGGGGGGTCGGGAGGGGGGGAAGCAAATTCACTCAACGCTCATTTAAACAATGAGCTCTCCCAGGTACCAGGTATTTCCAGGCCCTATAATATAAATCTCTAATAAGTTTCCTCCTCGGAATGAGGCTGCAGATGTCAGGTTATCTACTCCCTTGATGACAGTAGGTTAGTAAAGTCCCTAAAGATTATATAAGGCAGACACAATCCCAAGACTTAGGGGAGAGAGGCTTCATGGCTGCTTCGGGACACGTCCCAGGACCAATGATGGAACCAACTCAAGACGGCGGCA